TAATAAAGGATATGATTAAAGCTGTGGTCGGCAAACTGCAGCTGGCGAGTCACATGCGGCTCTTTGGCCCCTTGAGTGTGGCTCTTCCTAAGCCTTAGGAGTACCCTAAAGTTAACAACAATGTACCTATCTGTATAGTTTAAGTTTAAAAATTTGGCTCTCAAAAGAAATTTCGATCGTTGTACTGTTGATATTTGGCTCTGTTGACTAATGAGTTTGCCGACCACTGTGATAAAGGATACAGATGAACAGTTGGTGAAGAGGTACATAAGGCAAGGTCTGAAAGGATCCAAGGCACACGAGCTTCTGGTTTGTGGAGTTGGGGTGCTCCGCCCTCCCAGCATGTGGATATGCTCCCCAATCCCAAAGCCTCTGAACCCTGTATTTAGTGATTTTTCTGAGGCTTGATCAGGGAGGCATGATTGATTATTAACTTAATCTTCAGGCCTTCTCTCTTCCCTGAGGGTGGCCAAAGTTCCAAGCTTTTTATCTTGGCTTGGTCTTTCTGATCACCTGTGCCCATCATGAAGCTGTACAGGAGCCCACCAACAGTTACCTCACTGGAACAAAGATGCTCCTGTCACCCAGGAAATTCAAAGGGATTTAGGGGCTCTGTGTTAGGAACCAGGGTCAAAGACCAAATAGAATAAAAAGTTGCTTCTAAGCATCTTTTTCACATACCTTGCTCTTCTAATGGATTGTTTACTGTGTGTGTGGTTTTATAACACTGTGCATTGGTAATTTAGAAAATAATTCCTTTCAAATATTGGAAGAATCTTTACATTATAAAACAAATTGAAATTGTTAACATCACTTGATTTCATCCTATATAATAAAAGGGTAATATGCAAATCGACCGAAAGGTGGAATGACCAGTCACTATGATGCACACTGACCACCAAGGGCAGACGCTCAATGCAGGAGCTGCCCCCTGGTGTGTGTGTGCTCCTACAGGGAGAGCACCGCTCAGCCAGAAGCCAGGCTCATGGCTGGAGAGCACAGTGGTGGTGGTGGTGGGAGTTTTTCCCGCCTCCAAGGCAGTGCTAAGGATGTCTGACTGACAGCTTAGGCCTGCTCCCCCAGAAGCTCCCGGACTGCAAGAGGGCGCAGGCTGGGTGGGCTGAGGGACCCCCCTGAATGCATGAATTTCATGCATCGGGCCTCTAGTCAGAAAAGATTTAAAGTACTGGGAAGATACTAAGTTCAAAATGGTGGAAACAAATTTAAACAAAGTTCCAACTTTGCTTGAAAATTCCATATTAATCATTGGCAACAAATACTGTTAATTTGTTCTCTTCCAAGTGACAGACTCAGTTTACTTTTGAGAAAATGTCAAATACTGAAGTCTGAATACTTATAGTCTGTGGTTTGTTGGTGTTCTTTCAAGTAAAAATAGTGTTCCATGAAAAAGTCAGCCTTTCAGCCTGTCGCCCAGGCATTGCATTGGTGTTTGCTCTCAGCAGCCGCATGCTCTGCATACACAGCATAAGTACTTCTGATTTCATCATACAGTATCAATGAACATGTAAGCCAGTGTTTCAAATTTAATAAACATTTCCCCTTTTTATCAAGGACTTAAGAGAAACTAGACTTTTTCTTTTTGAATAGTTAGTGTGCGTAGTTGTGAGTAGTACAGTGAATTGTGCACACACTTGGTTCCACTGCCTTGATTTCTGCTAAGATGCAGCAATTTTAGGCACTATTGTTCTGCATCATTAGTGCAAATATGACCACACTAGAATAGGAAAGTAATATGTTAGTGTTGTCATGAGATTATTTTTTACTGAAGGAATCCCCTTTTCTAATAGAGTAAGGGGATCTCCATCGACTACACTTGGAGAACTTCTAGTATAGAGGAGAGAACACTTGATTTAATAGTTAGAAGAGTTAAATAGAAGCCTGTCTGCATTCTTTATTCTATAATGTTATACTTCATTTTTACAACCTCAGTTATCTCATTTATGAAATAGAGTTAAAAACATCTTACATTGTTATTTGCTTTTTTGGTGTTTGAGTTACAATAGATAAATTATGAAATGCTCACTATAAGTTGTTGCTATTTCTAATTTAGTTTTCTGCTCTAGCCATTTTGGTTTACTTGTCAGTCATGAAACAGTAAACACTCCTTATCATTTCAAAGAAATTTAAAATAGGAGTTTAATTCTTCAGAAATCACTGGAAGAACTGCAGCTCAGCCAGCTGACAGGATTCCCCAACCCTTACAGACTGGCCAGCCGAGAAGCTGCTCCCTCTGCCATGGTCAGGATTGTAGTGGATCAGAAGGCTGCCTCTGGGACTGCTGAGTTCAAGGACATACCTCTGTAGCTGTGGCCCAGGGAACAGGCAGCCAGGATTAGGTAGCTGCCACTAAGCTATGCCTGGACATTGGGATTCAGAGTTTGGTTGCCTCTTCTCTATTGCTGACATCCCTTCAATGGAAACTGGACACTGGAATGCTCTATGGAACAACCATATCTATCTGTTCAATCATATTGGACACCACAGCCAAAACCAGTAGGATAATTGTCTCCCCCCTCACTCTGCCTTCCGAATCTCATGTTCATGCATCCAGTTGGGAGAACCTAAATTTTACCCAGAACTTGAACCACAAGTGGATTGGGAAAATAGGTTTGTTTGTTTCAATCTTTCCAGCTTTCGTAGTTGAAGATAGCACACTCGAAGGATGAAAGAATGGAGTCTGTGGGCTAATTGATTGTATCCCCAAAGCCTGTCTTTCTGCTTTGTTCTTTTCAAATTATTTCCTTTACTTCCATTATTCTCTCTTTACTCACCCAAGGTATAGTCATTACTTAATGGGCATGATTTAATGACTCATTATTTATTTAAAATATGTTTTTTATTTTAGAGAGAGAAAGGGAGAGTGAAGGATAGAAACATCAATGATGAGAGAGAATCACTGATTGACTGCCTCCTGCATGCCCCACACTAGGGATCAAGCCCAGAACCCAGGCATGTGCCCTAACTGGGAATCGAACTGGTGATGTCCTGGTTCATGGGTTAATGCTTAACCACTGAGCCACTCTAGCTGGGCAATGACTCATTTTAATAGGACATTTTATGCCCCTCTAGTCCTACCTTTTTCTTCATCATTTTTTATACTGGACTGGATGGTAACACCTAGGTAACATCCACCTACAGCCCTGGTCTAGTGAACTTGGGTTTTGTAAGCCAGACTGAGGAAACCTTTAGCCTGCTGGTATATGCAGGCATATGCCATATTTCAGTTACCCTGCTATAACTTGTTCCATATTTTACTTTGAATTTTTTTTGGCTCCTACTTAATACGTTTTTGTGAGACTTATTACTAGTATACTAAGGACATTAAAATAACACTTTCCATAGCTAACTATTATTTCTAATATTTGTGTAAGCTACTGTTTGGAGGAAAAAAGTATGGATAACAATCAATGTAGGCTTTTGAAAGTGTCAATATACATTATTTCTTTCTCATTAAGTGTGGAATATTCTTCTCTAGTATCTGTATACAACCCTTTAGCCAGATGATAAAATGCAGTTACTTTATTTCCATGCCCTACCCTTTTTTGTTTGTTTCTCTCTTGTTAAATTCCAGGGTTACAGAGACAAAAATAATTTTAACATATCTCAAATATAAATAAAAAATGAATACAAAACTTGTTCAAAATATCAATAAGCATAATTCCAACCACGCAAAGGTAATAACAGCTATACTACTTTCTCTTACTCACCATATGGTTTCGTAATCTCCTACTTAACAACATGCTGTGCCTCCTATCATTGTTTAAATGATAGTGGGAGTATTTTTGGTATCTTTTGGGTTAAGGAAATTGACCAGTTTACATTGGCAAATTAGATTAAAAGTGTTTGTTTTTCTGAAGATGATAATTATAGCCTTTTTTTGGATAAAGAATACTTATAGCTATCAAGATAATTTTCTTTTGCTAGAAAAGAAAATAGTGTCATTTATTTGTATTTTCTTGTGAAATAAAATCTTTTTGTTAAATTTAAAGGACTGCATGTTTATTAAATACTTCAGAGGGTAGAGTGCTTAATATAGAAAGTAAAAGATCCTTATACTTCCTCCTCTGTTAACTGTCCTCCCCAAAATTAACCACTGTTAACAGTTTGGTACATACTTCCAGACTTTTAAAAATGTATATATATGGTCAGTTTCTGAAACCTAATTTTAGAGAGTTCCATTATTAATTGTTATACTATGATAGATAATAGCTAGGTTGTATGGCTACACTGTAGTGTGTGTGCATTTGGGTTAACTTCAAAAAGCATAAATGTAGATGCTTAGTTGATTTCGATTTTTGTTGGTAAAGAAACTTATTACCTTTTAATCAGACACTTTGTAGTAAATACTGAGATTCCTTTGCAATGTAAAATATTCATGCTGTTATTGTTTTAGGTATATCTTAGAGAAGAACATTAAATTTTGAAATAAAGCAATTTATAATTGGTTTGCATTCTCTTCAGAGAGCCTCTTATGCAGAATTAAGTTGGCGCTGACTTTGGTTTGAAAGGGTAATTGCATATAACTCCATGATAAGAATTCTCTTTCGTTTTGTTTGACTTTTAATTTTGAGTAAGATAGTTTTGCTTTTCAGATGTGATTGATCTCACTGGAGATGATAAAGATGATCTTCAGAGAGCAATTGCCTTGAGTTTGGCGGAATCAAACAGGGCATTCAGGGAGACTGGAATAACTGATGAGGAGCAAGCCATTAGCAGGTAAAAACCATAATGTGTATAAAGTAGATATAAGTACTATTTATAATAGACATAATAATTGGCTTAATTTCAAGAGACACAAAGATACACTTTGTTATTCTAAATAAACTCTTAATATACTTCAGCATTGTTTTTATATGTTATGTAACTAAAATTTTCATATTCTAGTTCCATTTGAATATGAAGCTTAGATTTTAGGATTTGAAGTGGCATTATGGGGGCATATGTTTAGGTGTATAGTTTAATATTCCTTTGATTTTTCTTTTCTTCTGCTAATCTCTTTTACATTCTCCAATTTAATTTATAATTATTTATAGTTAGAGTCAGCAAACTTTTGTTTTTGTAAAGGCCTATAGTACCATTAAATATTTTAGGCTTTGTTAGCCATATAGTTTCTATCAAAATCACTTCACTCTGGTGGTACAGTGCAAAAGCAGCCATAGATCGTACATAATTTAGTGATCGTGTCTGTGTTTCAATAAATCTTGGTTTTATCAAAACAGGCTACCAGCTGGATTTGGCTCATGGTCCATAGTTTGCCAGTCTCTCATCTATCCTATCTAATAAAAGAGAAACATGGTAATTGGCGTACGACCGCTACCCTTCCCATTGGCTAATCAGGGTGATATGCAAATTAACTGTCAGCCAAGATGGCGGCTGGCAGCCAGGCAGCTGAGAACAGGAGGCTTGGTTACCCCACCGATGAGGAAGCCAAGGTTCCCCGTCTGCAGCTGCGGGGGCTCGGGAACAGTGGAGCAGACAGGCCTCCTGGCCCGGGATCAGCGGAGCCAAGAGGCC